TAAACTTAGTTTCGTTCTCGTTCGATAGGTGTTTGAGGAGTTTATAACTGCCCCCACGTTTGAGTCTATTGTCAGCCCGGTTGCAAGTTTCCTCCCACTGTTGTTTTATGAGGTTTTGTGAGTTCTCCTCTATCTGTCTATTCAGCAATGCTGTCTCTTTCCTGGGCCTTCGGTTTAGTCTTTGTGTTTTCCATCTTTGCCGGACAGATTGCTTGGCCTCGATGAAATGTGCGAGCCTACTATCTATGGTCTCTATGCTGTCTTCCGTCGTAATATTTCTAGTTGCCTCCTGTAGGTCCTCTGCGAGCTGGTTGATCCAGGTATGAAAAGACTGTCTGCCAGTTTCTATGGTTCCCAACTCTAGTCGCTTTGTTCCAGCTTTTTTAAAAAGGTCCTAGTCAGTAGACCGAAAGATTCTAGTCAGTTGTTTCGGCATTCCTATATCAATGTGTATGATATAGTGGTCGCCACCTAGATCAGTGCCTGAGTTTTCCCGGCTAGCTTAGTTTGAGTGTTTCACAAAAGTGAGGTCTGGTGTAGTCTCTGCACGTAGACGTACCACAGCGGGTGGGAAAAGCCGGATCGGTGACTAGGCTCAGTCCGAGATTTGTGGCGAGGTCCCTTAGACCCTCTTCTTTCTTTGTATTCCAAGTGTATCACCACGCCTGGTAGGGGGCATTAAAGTCACCTCCTAATATAAGCGGGGAGCTCTTGGCGATAGCAAGTGCCTTGGTGAAAAGTGTCCTGAAGTTCTGTTTCTTGGCGATGGGACTGCTGTGAATGTTTCAGCAGAAGATGCTACGCCCCTTGCCCCCCTCTTTTTAAGTACGACTTCTTTTAAGGTATACTCAATTTTAGACAATCCGAGGGAGTATTGTGTTCGATAAAAGGTAGTTTTCGGTCAACAAGGGTTCCCAATCCTCTCCAGCATTGTTTTTCTCTTCATACCGATTTGTAGCCGGTTAGTTTGACCTTGTACAATAAAATTTCTAGTGCTCAATCTAACTCAATCTAACCGTAACGAAGTCATAAACGAAACGGCAAGGAGAGATAAAAGTCGCAGGCGGCTAGATCAGACAGACAGACAGACAGACAGACAGACAGACAGACAGACAGACAGGCAGGCAGGCAGGCAGGCAGGCAGGCAGGCAGGCAGGCAGGCAGGCAGGCAGGCAGGCAGGCAGGCTCTTAGTCGCCGAAGCTTGCTAAGAAATGCTACGGATTTAAAAACTCGTTGCTTGTCGTTCATGTGCGTATGCTGAACACCTACAAAATACGTGCTCAAGTCTTTCTGGAGTAATACAGTGTTCAGAATTGGCAACGGTGTGCCTGTGACTGATCATACGTGCGTAACATGTTCTGTTCACCGCACTGGCCACACCAAGACGAATGCGGTAGGCCTTACTTGTGAGGTGTGCCTTCCATTTAGAGGGCACGCGTCATTTTATTTCCGGGTGCATTTGTGTAATATCCGGTTTCGCCACTCCGGTTTGGTGCGGTTGTCAACTTTACAGCTTCACATTACGCAGCGAAGCGGGGCGTTTGTGTAAGCTATTGAATATACAATGGGCAGTCCAAGGAATCTGTTTAGGGTGCGTTCAGCTTCAGCGTCTGCTTTGTTTCACTTCTCGCCACAGCATGCTTGAATCCAGAGGAACTTGACGAGATGGTCATTTTTTGAAGCTAACTGAAGAAGTTTTGTAATATCAAAGTAGCTAAAATACATTAAGTACCTCGCGTTGACACCATGATGCTTTACAAAGCGGTTTGGCATCGCAGAGCTTTGTTCATATTTAGGGTTGCTTTCCGCAAATAAATTTTATTACCTCTCAGGCAGCAAGCAGCACGCTCTGCGGCAGTTTATGAGGTTTTGTAGGCTGCCTTGAATTGTCGAGCGATATCTGCTAGTGAAATCAAAGGTGGCGGTGGAGGAGTGAAGTGTGGTAGACGCATCAGTAAACACGTGATAGAAATCACCGTGCGTTGTATAAATGCAATGAAGGGTCAACTGTATGAGGAATCTCAATGAAATGAGAGACTTCTTCGCAATTCTGGGAATTATAAGACTAGCAGGCGGTTTATGTCAGACCCACGGAGGCACTCCAGGAGCATGTATACGCTAATGTTACAAGCCCGAGCCTACAGAATGGTTCATTTGGTTTACGTGCAGCGAGGTGAAACCAAACAGTTTTGAAATCTTTGATCTTGACGCTCTCTATTGTGTTGACTTAACTAGCACTTGTAAATTATACGATGACTTATATTTATGGTCGTCATCGTACGCTTCATTGTGACCAAACTGTTATGGTGCTTTTCGCATTTATTGTGAACCCACATCATGCTCAGAGGCTTTAGTGAATTCTTACAGCAGACACCGAGCAGACATGTGTTTGTTTTGTTTGTTACTATTATGTCGGGCTTAACGTTTCAAAAGCAAGTTATGATTCTGAGGGACGCGGTAGTAGAGGGCTCCAAAAATATCCACCACCTTGTGTTCCTTACCGTTCACTGACATCGCACAGTACAACGATATCTGCCGTTTCGCCTCCACTGAATGGCACCTACTTCTTTTAGGGCCGACCCGTGGCCTCTGGGTTAGCAGCACAGCAACTTGACCACTGCTTCCCCGCTGCGAACTTGGTCGTTTTGTTTAGCAAGTTGCGTATTTTAGCTCACGCGTGACTTATGGCGAAGATCCTTCTTCTGCATTTCTGGTTATTGATGCTTACTAGCAGTTCAATGATGGTAAATTCTGCTTGCAGAGTGGGCGTTTTTCTTCGTGATGCAACTACAAATTTTCCCATAGGAGCAACTACAAATTTTTCCCATAATCAAAAAGTAAATAATTTGTGAGTACCAAACCTATGATTACGAAGTTCACTATCAGGAAGTATCATTACCCTAAAATATTACCTGAAATTAAAAAGTATATGAAAATACACTCACGAGTACGTAATGTGTGATTACGTGTAAATAGATTAGAATAATATATAAACAAAGTGTGGTATAGGGCTAGTTGTTAATAAAAAATTAAACTGCTCAGCGTGAAAAGTAACCTGACCTACACAGAAACGACGAGAACCAGCGCAGTGCGCTGGCTCTAAACTTTTCCGTGAGCGTTGTCTGAGTTTTTGCGCTGAGCAGTTTGATAACTTCATATAAGGCTTGTCTTGGTTGTCTTCTATTCAGGGCGTACTAGTCAGCAATTGGATTTGCTGTATATCGGCAGTGTTCAAAAGCTGCTTTTGTTGGCTGAGTTTACTAAAGTTTGCCACCACGCCTAATTTATGCTCTTGAATGCACGTACTTATTTACAGTCGACTTCCTCTTATTACTATGCCGTATAGTCCACTTTGCTCATCGGTATTATGGAGTTCTAAGTCAAATGTGCGCATGTGCACTAAGCATCATGCACCAACTGTGACACTGGTGAAGGCTGCAGCTCTCGATCTAAGTGATACTGATGCGTCATATATACAATGCAGCTTAGCTACTTTATGATATTTGTGTTCTTTGATCCAGTTGTTCTTACCTTGCTTCAGCAATTTATAACTCAGAGTGTATGAAAGTATTGTTTTTTTAAACTAAGTATTTATCCTTATTGCACTGCCAATACTCAACATTATATCAGAGAATTTAAGCACTATGCAGCAGTCGTAATAAGACGTTTAGTTATCGTTCATTCTCATGATAGTGTAAAAAAATTTGAATACATTTGCAGACGATAAAACTTTTCCGACTCAACCACCAAATGTGGGTTTATCGAGCAAGTAAAGCTGAAACCTCTCAAGGTATACTGCAGAAGTGGCAGCGTCCACCATGTTGCTCTTTACGTAGCAGTTACGGAACATATGATCTTTTTTTCGTGTTTTTTGTCAGTTGGCACGTAGCCTGTGTTTGCTGGAGTAGAACACCACAAGCATAAGGCGTACGACGCTCCACCAAATAACTCGTCAAGTGGAAATTCAACCTGCATACGGAGTTCGTCGAGGTGAAGCTACGCTACTTTCTCGGCTTTGGTTGGAAGTTGCCTTCACAAAAGCATATACAATCCTTATCGGACTGACCAATAGTGCGGAATTGGACGTCTGTGGCACTGAAGAAGACACTGACCATCTGCTATGCCGTTGCCCTAGATTTGCCTCAGAGAGACAAAAACAATCTGGCGTGTGGCGAAATTGGACGATCAGCCACTCTCTGTGCAGATGTTGCCTGAGAACCATCCTCGTCCTTCGTTGGCTTAAAAGGCAGTCAAAGCCCTCATGGGATTTGTGAGGACTACTAGCATTTCTTTGCGCCTTCAACCTTTGTGTTGTGCCACCACCGCATACACATCAGCACAGAGACTGACAATTTTTGTCTATTGCTCCCCACTTTCCTCTGTATTTTATCTTTTTATTCACATTTCCCATTCCCTCAGCGTAGTGTAACAAACCGGCCATGTGCTTTGTTAACCTCCTGCCTTATCTCGTGGTGTTTTTTTTCGTGCACTTTTTATTTCACTGGTATAGATATATCGCTGCCACAGCCAGACATTGAAGAGCCATAAATAATTTTTAGGGATGTAGTGACTAATACTAATCAAGCAATCGCCGTGACCGGCAGTCACCTCATATTCAAGAAACTTCTTTTGCTGTTCATTCGAACAAACGCTAAAAAATTCATTGAGAAGGGGGCGTGCTGTTGAAAACATGTGAAATTATAAAAAAATTGAAGAGTTGTGTGTTGCCAAATTTATAATGCATACAGGCTTTTGCCGTGAACATAAACTGCATGTGAAGTATTATATTTTTAAACTCTGGGCGGTTCAATGCACCATAATCATTCTGTTCTCCTCGATGTTATTCCGCGAGCCATTTAGACATCACATGTTTAGTGTGAAAAGGCGGTATCGTTTACAAAGGCACCAAACTAATGTTTGCTATAAAGCTTGAGATACACAATATGCACGTGCCTTTAAATACGTCATATCTATATCATCATTGTACAAGCTTCGTAACGCCATTGTTGCAAATGAATTTATTATGTCGATATTTTAAAAATATTTATTTGTATTGTTTCTTGTGGGTTCGCGACGTTCACCCGATCAGAAGGACTTTTCCCACACTGTCTAGACAGTTTTCTATATTGAATACTGTTTTGTTGTCGCTTTTGCAATACGTCTTAAACTTCGTTGTGCAGGCTTCTTGTTCTTCATGCCCACTTATGAAGAACTTGTCGTTCACCCATAGTTCGCAGGCGTCGTTAGAAACTGCAAAAGGCAATTTGGATAATTTTGACTCTTGTCCGAGATAAGTGAATTGTACAAAGCAGTGCATCGTTTGGGAAAATGGTGCTGAGTATTTAAAAGTGAATGGCAGCACAAAAAACAAATACACAAATATTAGACAAAAGACGATTGCCTGTCTAAAGAGTGCATTATTATTGCACAAAGGCAATTAACATACAAGAAAGCAGCCTATTTCACATGCGCAAAGCAAACCCCACGTTCACTGCGGAGACGGTGAGAGCATCTTTTAGGAGGTAAAGCTTCTTAGGGCATGGGTCAGTCCATACTTCGTAAGTATGTATGTAGTCTCCTCTCAATAGACCTCATTAGTTGTGGTTTCTGCCATTTGATGACGCTACGTGTGTATTGTATACGGTGATAATGCAAAACAATAGTATATGACGCTGTTATACTGTTAAAGTTACGTAACTTCAAGCGCTTCTCATTAGATGAATTGGTCTAGATTAATGAATGTAATACGGTGGTATACCGCTTGGGGAGGCAATAAAAGGGAAGCTTTCCTGGAAAGGCAAAGCAATGAAGGCGATAGCAAGAAATATCTAGGTCACGCATCGAAAGGCATGTAGATCGTAACGTGCCCCACGTTTCTTACACATAAATGAAGCACGAAACGTGCTCACAGATAGAGATGAACGTGAATTAGCGCCTCAGTTGTTGTTTCGCTGTGTCTGAAAGGCACACCCTTTACACAAACAGAGACTATGCTACGATTGCAGTTACCTTTGTGTACATGGTAACTAGAACAGAAACATTCTAGTTAAGACCCAACGCAAGCAAAGACAAACAATCATCGTTCCATGACAGAAGGGTGCGTGAGCAAGCATCCACCTTCTCCACCACGTGTTGTCTATTCTCCGGGGCCACAGAACACCACAGAACGCGCGACCGCGCTCTCATCGCGCTATTTCGCTGGTAATGCTGAAAACGCGTTAGTTCCCCGCGAGACGCGTGCCGCAGCGGGCTCATTGCACCATCTTGTTGGTAATGCTGAAAACACAATAGTTCCCCCTCGAGATGCCCATCACCAGCGGTAAGTGGTAGGCATATACAGCTTGCCGTTTGAACGTTCAAGGACGTGCCCCTCGGTGGCTCAGTGGTTAACGCCTCGCAATCATGACTCAGAAGCTCCACGTTAAATTTCGCGTGCTGATGTCTTTCTCGCGATTTTTTCATTTCCTGCATTTTGATTTACATAGGTACACATACACATGCGGTGAGCAACTGCGATGCCGGCAGCAAAATACACCGGAGAGTGTTCATATAATTGCTATCAAAATAAAAGGAGCTCGCTCCTGTAGAAGTTTCTGGATTGCAGCTCGGATGCAGGCAGACAAGACTGGAACGCGGAAAGCGCGCAAGGCGGTGGCAGCATGCGCTCACAGACATAATCTAGGCGTCCGTGAAGAAGAGACGGAAGCGTGTCGTCAGGCTGCGCGTCAGCACCACCAGAGTTCGGCCGTACGTGAAAGAGAGGTGGAAGCGCGCTGTCAGGCTGCGCGTCAGTGCCACCACGATCCGACCGTACGTGAAGCAGAGGCTGACGGAGCACGCCAGTCGCGCAAAAACGTTCTGTAGTACGTCAGGTGACGGGAAGCGCCTAGAAAGCGCTCGTGTCGGCAGACAGACCGCAATACAGTGAGAGCTCGTCAGTTGTCTGAAAACGCATAAGGCAAGCTCAACCCGAAGGTGCCGTCACGCGGTTCAAAGGAATCTTTCTGGACGGTACTTGGGCACAGTTGCAGTGTGTGTGACAGATTATGATATTCTAACTATCTCAATACGGTGTACGGCATCAAAAAAATGAACATGCTTGGGGTAAAGTCATTGCTTTGCTTTAACATGAGTTTCCAAACGGCAGCTGTGAGTACAAAGTTCGCTATAGCTGCAATGACTTGTAGTGGCTGGAAAGGTGCTTCCGATGAGCGTCTCCTATGGTTACAAGTATCCACAGATAGTGGCTCAATGGCCTTCTCTATGACCCGTTGCAGAACGACTCATCTGTCCTTGTTGCCCGTCTGTGAGTGTTCGCCCGAGATCCGGTCGCCGGGTGGCGACTCTGCTCGATATTACGACCAATACGCTGGTTGATGCACGGGCGTGGACAGTTCAGCATCAAAGGACAAGTGGCTAACGTTCCTATAAACGTCTCCAACATGGTTCAGTGCCTACCTCAGAACATTTCGAATGACGAGATATGAAACATAGGGCTTCGGATATGCACTCAGATGGATATTCTTTGAACACATGAAGCCTACCACAATCCGAGGAACCTGCATAGACCTGGTAATTCAAAATTGTCTGCTGCAATCCTCACAACTGCTCTCGCTTCATTTCACGTATCATAAAGCCGTCATAATCAACAAATAAAGAAAATCATCTATCGTCTAAAAACAAAATCAAAGTTTATTTTTCTATATAAAAAGTGTTTCTCTTCACTTAATGACTGGGCAAATTAATAAGGTAACTGATCACTTTCAAACTTGACCCACTCGTCCGCGTTCAGGTAGTGGTTAAAGGCTAATTTTTTGTCGTAGTAAATCTGGTGGTACAGATAAGAGCCTTTTAAATACCCAATCTATATTCTCTTGAGAGATAACGATGGCATGCTGACACGCAATCAATTGTTTTTACAGAGAGCGAAGGCTTATTGTGTCAAGCTTATGGTTTCTTGCGATGCCTACTCAAAACTAAGCAAACACAAAAGTTTGGAGAACACCCTCAGGCTGCGCAATGCAAAGCCGTGCTGCTTTCCTGCTTCTCACGAAAATTCTTGTTGTGCTCCCTGAGGCGGCAGTAGAGGCGTTGATTGGCTCGGATGATGTAGGTCCTCCTACATAAAATAGAGATTTCGTGCACAACACCCACAGTAAATTTACAAACAGATGAGTGATTTTTTTCCAAGTGTTTTACAGACTCATGGGCGTGTTTTTAGAAAAAAATGCCCTGTGCTGCGCTCGTGTTATCTCTAATTCTTTTCTGTTTTCTTGTTTACTGTGCTGCACTAAACTTCAAACTATGCGTTATAACTAGTAATAATACCGAGGGTTCAACGTTCCAAAACCATGATATGATTATGAGGAACCCGGTTGTGAAGGGCTCCAGAAATTCACGTCACTCGATGTTCTTTAACCTGCTCTGATAACGCACATCACAAGGGTCTCTACCACACCCCCATTGATATGTGTGTATGATTTTAATGGTTTATTGACAATTCACGCAATTTTTCTTTAAGTTGCAAGATTGTAGACATTATTTGGCTCACACCAGTACATAAAAAATTCTAAAGCTTATTTGCCTAGAAGAGTATACCATACCAAAACATAATATAATTATAAAACGCTGCAGTAGAGGGCTCCGGAAATAGAAACAACCTGCAGCAACCTATTGTGTGCCAAAATATAAGTAGGTAAGTGCAGCGTTTTCAAGTACGTTGGCTTCTATCAGTATTGGTGTAGGTGTTCTTGATTGGGAGTGAAAAATTATTTTGTTCAATACAAAACAGCTACGACACTCGTCAGTGGACTATGCTTTGTGGCTTAAGCTACCAGACTCCTCATATAGTGTGTACCCAACGCCTTCTAAGGGCTGGGAGAATTGCGTCACCGAAACCAAATTAAGAGGTTGATGTTTACTTCGGCAGATCTATTCTTGCACACCTTTGGGGCAGAAAATTTATTTCTGTGGCGAAATGCAACGCTACTTTACCTAGCTAGTCGGTCATGCTGGCCCACGCGAGTTGGCACCAGCAGAAGACTCCACTTCGATCCACAGCGTAGCTACATTAAGGACGTGAAATATTAAAAAAAGAATGCGTATGTTTTACTCCAGGAGAAAAAAAGGGGGGGTGGAGCAGGCGTCCTTCACTATTACGGTGTGAGAGGTTGAGGTGGAAAGAAATGGTCATCGCACACGCCCCACCTACGTGTATGGACGAAAGCATACTGTTTATATACAACCAATTTGCGGCCCGTACCGACATGAGACGCCAAGTCTACATCACTGCTTCTTGTGTGCCTTCTTGACGTTGACGGAAGGAGACACGTCGTGAGGCAATAATTTGCCTTTTTGCTACTCTCTAACTCATTTATTATGGATTGATTGATTGATTGAATAAAGGAGTCAAGGCTGATACGGTGAGGTTGCTTTTGAACTTGGCTCCCTCTCACCTTAAAAATAAGAATCCTGAGCCGCTACGAGCTCTAGGCAAACGGAGTTGCTCATACTGCGTCCCGCAGTCTCACGTTATAATCTCCCTTGCCGCATTTAGAGACCACGACTCACTGACCATGAAGCATAGCCTCTACCACTTCTACCACTTCTAATAGGTAAATTGCAGAAAACAACCGGTTAGGTTAACATGTACTCGCTACGTCACCCGAATCAA